AGTGTAAACACAGCAGGTAATCTCCATTGATCTGATAACTTCCTAATAAGGCAATGTCACAGTGAAATGAACATATATGTATTTATGTGTACTGGCATATAACTGACATCACAGCAGAGAGACACACAGCATGTTTTGAGATAAAACATACCCTCATTGTGTGCTTTATGATGCATAGATTGATTAGCGTATAAACAATGGCAAAGAGGCCAGTTTTAATCTTGGGGTCACTATTAAGGTTTTGGTCTCAATCTTAAAGTTGGGAGATACAAAATTATGTAAACTATTAATGATTTGAGGATGGTGTATTTCTTAGCATGTGATTAAATAACGTGAAGTAAGTTTGTTGCTATGACCAATACCTGATAAGAGTAATTCGTAAGTTAGTGTGTGGCCTGAAGGCTAAAAATAGGGTGTGCGACATGATAAGACGTTGTGACAAGGACATCAGTGGACAAGTGGTACATATATATATATATATATATATATATATATATATATATATATATATATATATATATATATATATATATATATACCCCGTTCACACTGCAGTCATTTAACCAGTTAAATAGCGAATTAGGTCGAGATTCGAATCATTGCGGTAGTCTGAACGCATGAGGATTTTTGTAAACCGGTTTCTAAAAATCCTACTAGCGAGCTGGATTTTCTCCAGCGATTCGTTTACTTTACCGGAAGGGCCACCTGTATAGATCGCACTGCGCATGCACCAGCATAGCAACATGCCAGCTCAGTGGACCCACAAAGAAATTTCTTGTTTAATTGACATATGGAGACAGAATTCTTCCTGTTCTTACTTGAATCTTCCTTTGACGAACTTTGGGATAAATTTAAGGTTCCAAAAAGCAAACACGCGAGAAAAAAATCAGAGTGCGAGAAGAGCAATGATTGGCGCCATATTTTTGTTTTCATGGATTCTGCGCATGCGCGATTTTTCAAACCGGAACCTCCACCTGGATTTTCAGTGCGCGATTCGGTTTCCCTTTGCTGTGTGTGGCCAGAAAACCGAATCGGATTTTTCGCCCGCAATTCGCATTGCAAAAATTCGGATATTTCAGATTGTAGTGTGAACGGGGTAATAATAATGATGCATAATTGTACTAGTATTTTTAAAAGATAGTTTGGGATGTGTTTTGGGCACTAAAGCCGTCACTGATGTGTTTTTTGTACAAACACGTGTGTGTGTGCTTGTGTGTTTTTATGTGTTACAATGTGTGTGTGTGAGAGAGAGAGAGAGAGAGAGAGAGGTAGCACATCAAAGAATGTATAGAATGCGGTTCATGATATAAATGTGTTCATTGATCCGTAATAGTTTATGCATACCTGTAAGAGTATGTTCAATGGCATGACCCAGGTTATATAGACATCAATACAGCCTTTTAAATTTATGCTCTGATTAACCAGCTCCGACAGCCAGTAACAGGTTAAATTTTATTGAAGAGCACAGTGAAAAAATGTTTCCGTAATACATTTAGTTATTTTATATGGGGGATATGTATATATGCATATGTCTTTATACTAGGTTACAACAAAAGCCATATTGGATCCTAGCTTCATATAGCTAATATCCTCAGCTGACAAAATGTAATTTTTTTTCTCAGCGAGGAGAAACATTAAGATATTTAGTCACCAAATGTCCTGTTTACAAGGACAGGAGGGTGCTTAAGCCCATTATTAAGTCTAAACTGCATGAGATCAGCTTTATAAATATAAATTCAGTCCACCTGGTATAAAGTTTGCTCATTACAGGAAAAAAAACCTGTGATTGTGGATGAAGCTCTAAAGTCATTCAGTTTAAGCCGGTGCCTTTAAAACTCATGACCAAAGTTTCTTTCTTCGCTTAGGTAACTGTAGCTTTCTTTTCCTGCCCAACAGCTGAAACTTGAATTCACACTTCTGGCTTGCAACTTAGTTTCAATTTTTTTCTGTCCAAATACGTCCTTTATTTTGACTTTCCTAAAACATTTGTCATACACATGACTATAATTTTAGTTTTCAAAAAATTTGAATAATTTAAGATAAAATCCCTCAGTGAGCTAAAAAAAATAATTGATTTTGGCACAAGCTTTGAAATGCAATATTTCAGTAACACTTCAAATAATAATATCAAAATGAAGGCAGTTAAAAGGAAATTTGATTTTCCATTATTTGAGTATGAGGTGTGTAAATATTGGTGTGTGTTGTGTAATGATGGAAGCCTTAGAGATGGCACATGTTAAGCTCTGTTATTTACAATATCTGGTGAGACAGACAGGTCTGGTGATTGGACATGAATGTTATGGGGGAGGTTACTTTAATTGGCAAGACTAGAGTATTGCAGTCATTTGTTTGCTAAATACTGGTTATATCCTAATTTGGTAAAAAAAAAAAAAAGACTTCGTATAACCAAATTTTGTAAAATATTGAATATGTACTACAGTAAATATATCCTAATTTGGTAGAGATATTTACTAGAAATGAGGGTACATGTGTACACTACAATTTATAATTAAGCACCACAAAACCTTCACAAACAGCTTCCTAGTAAGTTCCTTTCAGGGCGACAGACAGCATGACTACTAACAGACTTTACAAAGCTGCTGGTCAGCACATTTCATTTCCAATGCTGACTTTTAAAAAATGATAAAATCATTTTTTTTTGTGTGCCAATAATTCACCCACTGCACTTTACAAGCTTAAATTCCAAGCACACATTTTGTGTCTCAGTTTATTGACAGTAATGTAATCACAGGTTGTGCCATAAATATTTCAGCTTACTGGCCATTCCGACCTCCAGTTTCCTAAAATGTACTGGTCTGAATAAAGAATCTCTGGTCCATATAAACATTTCAGTCAGACGGGACATATATCCCTATTTTGTGAATTACTGTGACAGTATTAAACACTGTCACTTAACTGTAGCATCCAGGGGATAATGAAATTAGCTGAAATGTTGAGTCAGCAGGAAAAAAAAATGAATCCTAGTTAAAAGTTCAAGATGAAGTCAGCAACGGTGATGACATCATTTTCATGTAGATTAACGGCATGGCCATTTTTAAAATGAAGTCAGCTTACTACTAAGTACTACTACGTGGATGTCCATTTTGTACAGAAGATTTCTATGTGGGGATTGGCAAACCACATGTATATATATAAAGAGGGAGACCATTTTATGCTAACTATTAGGTGGATAACCCAGGGAGTTTTGTAATTTGTATTGTCGCCTAAATAGGGTCACACATCCATACTGACTCTGCTATTGAATGAAGTCACCCCATGTGCCAAGGGACTGGCAAGGATCAGATTTCATTGGAGCTCATCTTTTAACTGAAAGTGGCATTGGCCGTTTCATTTTGTTATAACGTTTTATTAGAGCTTTTAGTGATCAATTAGTCTGAAGGTGACTCGTCTACTAGCACAAGTATTTTGGATTATATGCTTGTGAGACAAATCCTTTCAATAATATTGAAACATTTACAAAAAGAATCTACAGAAGAGAACATTACACTGCTGAATACAAACCCAGTGGTATTCAGAATATTGGAATTCTGCACGTGGACTAGCCTTTTAGTACGTATATCTGTATCTAGTGTAAAGTGAGGAGAGAAGAGAGATAAAGAAGACTAGCACAGCTGCTGTAGGAATAAAAGGGAAGTCTCATACTAGATTGTATACGGCAGAGTGACTGCCACTGCAATATCAAAGGAGTGTGGAATCTTATATAAAGGATATTCCTAACATAATGGAAGGAACATATAGAGTTAGACAACAGAGTGATGATGTTGAAGGTATGTACGTATGTGCTTTGGTGTGTGTGTGTGTGTGTGTGTGTGTGTGTGTGTGTGAGAGAGAGAGAGATTGTTGCTGGATAGAGGTATTGTACTGCATGACATACGCTGTACATGTGCCTCCAGGTGTGTTTCTGTGCAGGTTGGGTGTCAGTTTGCATGTGCACGTTTTTCTACTGATGCTTGTACTGTGTTCATATACAATTATAATGTCAGAGGAATGTTTGTGGATATTTGAGCATGTAAGTGTATCTCTCCTCTGTATTTCACCAAGAATGATAACTTGTTTGCATGAAAGAAGGTAGTGGTAATAAGCCTACAAATAAGAAGTAGCACTTTTTTCCCCTTTAGTTCCCAATGTGATGGCAAGCAGATTGGTAATTATCTAAGCATGTTCAGATTCAATTATCGTATGCCACTGCATGTGTTCAACTGTTTTAATGGATGTTGACATTTTAAAAAGAAATCTAGTCATGAAAAACCATCTGAATGACATAAAAGCTAATGACTTATTCCCTCTTCTAAGGAAGTAAGTATAATACATTTTCAGTATGGGGTTGGCTGGTCTGTTTGAATATCCAGNTAACCAAATTTTGTAAAATATTGAATATGTACTACAGTAAATATATCCTAATTTGGTAGAGATATTTACTAGAAATGAGGGTACATGTGTACACTACAATTTATAATTAAGCACCACAAAACCTTCACAAACAGCTTCCTAGTAAGTTCCTTTCAGGGCGACAGACAGCATGACTACTAACAGACTTTACAAAGCTGCTGGTCAGCACATTTCATTTCCAATGCTGACTTTTAAAAAATGATAAAATCATTTTTTTTTGTGTGCCAATAATTCACCCACTGCACTTTACAAGCTTAAATTCCAAGCACACATTTTGTGTCTCAGTTTATTGACAGTAATGTAATCACAGGTTGTGCCATAAATATTTCAGCTTACTGGCCATTCCGACCTCCAGTTTCCTAAAATGTACTGGTCTGAATAAAGAATCTCTGGTCCAAATAAACATTTCAGTCAGACGGGACATATATCCCTATTTTGTGAATTACTGTGACAGTATAAACAGTGTCACTTAACTGTAGCATCCAGGGGATAATGAAATTAGCTGAAATGTTGAGTCAGCAGGAAAAAAAAATGAATCCTAGTTATAAGTTCAAGATGAAGTCAGCAACGGTGATGACATCATTTACATGTAGATTAACGGCATGGCCATTTATAAAATGAAGTCAGCTTACTACTAAGTACTACTACGTGGATGTCCATTTTGTACAGAAGATTTCTATGTGGGGATTGGCAAACCACATGTATATATATAAAGAGGGAGACCATTTTATGCTAACTATTAGGTGGATAACCCAGGGAGTTTTGTAATTTGTATTGTCGCCTAAATAGGGTCACACATCCATACTGACTCTGCTATTGAATGAAGTCACCCCATGTGCCAAGGGACTGGCAAGGATCAGATTTCATTGGAGCTCATCTTTTAACTGAAAGTGGCATTGGCCGTTTCATTTTGTTATAACGTTTTATTAGAGCTTTTAGTGATTAATTAGTCTGAAGGTGACTCGTCTACTAGCACAAGTATTTTGCATTATATGCTTGTGAGACAAATCCTTTCAATAATATTGAAACATTTACAAAAAGAATCTACAGAAGAGAACATTACACTGCTGAATACAAACCCAGTGGTATTCAGAATATTGGAATTCTGCACGTGGACTAGCCTTTTAGTACGTATATCTGTATCTAGTGTAAAGTGAGGAGAGAAGAGAGATAAAGAAGACTAGCACAGCTGCTGTAGGAATAAAAGGGAAGTCTCATACTAGATTGTATACGGCAGAGTGACTGCCACTGCAATATCAAAGGAGTGTGGAATCTTATATAAAGGATATTCCTAACATAATGGAAGGAACATATAGAGTTAGACAACAGAGTGATGATGTTGAAGGTATGTACGTATGTGCTTTGGTGTGTGTGTGTGTGTGTGTGTGTGTGTGTGTGTGTGAGAGAGAGAGAGAGATTGTTGCTGGATAGAGGTATTGTACTGCATGACATACGCTGTACATGTGCCTCCAGGTGTGTATCTGTGCAGGTTGGGTGTCAGTTTGCATGTGCACGTTTTTCTACTGATGCTTGTACTGTGTTCATATACAATTATAATGTCAGAGGAATGTTTGTGGATATTTGAGCATGTAAGTGTATCTCTCCTCTGTATTTCACCAAGAGTGAATGATAACTTGTTTGCATGAAAGAAGGTAGTGGTAATAAGCCTACAAATAAGAAGTAGCACTTTTTTCCCCTTTAGTTCCCAATGTGATGGCAAGCAGATTGGTAATTATCTAAGTATGTTCAGATTCAATTATCGTATGCCACTGCATGTGTTCAACTGTTTTAATGGATGTTGACATTTTAAAAAGAAATCTAGTCATGAAAAACCATCTGAATGACATAAAAGCTGATGACTTATTCCCTCTTCTAAGGAAGTAAGTATAATACATTTTCAGTATGGGGTTGGCTGGTCTGTTTGAATATATCCAGTGGTATCTCAAAAAGTATAACTAATGAGATTACAACTAATCTGGATTTCCTAACATTTTGAAAATAAACATTTTTACTGCCTTTTCCGTGACAGTGGTCTCTGTTCACTTGGAATACTTTCTTAATAGTGCACTGATTTGTCTTTTCAGGTAACCAACCCGACCAGACCTCTTCTACTGGAGTCGTGGTTATAGGAATGGAAAATGGTAAGGAGACACTGCTATATAAGAGCTTGTATTACATAATGTTATATAATAGATAAAACTGCACCTTTTGTCTTTACTAGCACTGAAGAAAGTATTACACATTTTTAGTAATCTTTTATAAGTTCTATACCAGTATGGTCATTATAAAAATGCAAAATAAAGGCCTACACAATTTCCAGATTTAAATTGATATGCAGATTAGTTAATGTTTTATTAAGTGTGAGTATTAATGATATTTCATTATGTTTTGAGTCTAAATGTTGCTGATGATTTACATGCTTTTCTTGTTTATTTGAATGATTCTATTTTGTAGACTATGAAATGGCCCTATTCATACACACCAAACCATTTTGAGACTGGGCTTTGAATCTTTTCCATAAATTTATGAGTGTCCATCTGTCTGTTTGTCTATCTGTCTATTAGTGTGTCTATTCGTATCAATAAAGTATGAATATTTTATGAAAGAGGTAACAAGTGGTATTTTGACATACAGAACACAATTGTAGCTGTCATCTCTAACACATTTTGTTGTAACTTGGTAGCTAGGAACTTTAGGTATACAGTAATTGACTGGATCAGTAGGACAGTCCAAGATTTGAAACTCTATCTCACTCTCTCTCTCCTCCAAAGAATCTGATGGACAGACAGACAGCAGGCCCAGAGCCAGGGGGGTTTCGGGGGGGGGGGGGGGGTTCAAAAAACCCCCCCTTTTGCTGGGAAAAGGGCCCCCCGGGGTAAAATTTGATCTAGGAACATGTGGTTTTTTTGGGAAAAGGTCCCCTTTTTTCAGAAAAAGAACCCCCCTTTTGAAATTGCTGGCTACGGGCCTGGAAAGCACGAAAGATTTA